GTCCACCTTTGGGTGACCCGTACGCTTTTGAAATAGCTCACTATAACCATCCCGAAGGAGATTCGTCCTTGTGAACCGTGAAATAAAACGTCCTTTGGGCTCGAATTAAATCACTTCACTGACAAACCTATAATGGAGGCCTTGGATGTAATTTATTTCAACCAATTACACACTTAATATAATTTTTATTTTATGGGATTTTCTTAACATGTTTGTATTTTCACACAAGCAATCACATAAAACATGCATGATTAATGAGCAATAATAAACTAGGAACTATAATCCAACTATCATGGCCATTAATCAATCTCTAATGTTACGGAGAAAACACAGTCCTGTCCTTGTTGAGTGTGCCCTCCGTTTCGGGTATTGGAACTCCCTCTTTCGCAGTGACTCCCACTGAATTGGTCGTCTCCGGGAAAGTCGCCATTGGATCAACACCATGGCTTCCGTGTACGTGTTTATGCCTCGCCCCGTCAAGGTTGGTCCACGCCCGTCGGATCAATAACGAATAATATAAATAACAATTACATAATTCATCCTATGACCCCACGCAGGAGCCGTACATAAGTTTCTATGAAAGCAATAAACTATGCGGTGTCCCACCACGTGAATAATTTATTACAAGCATTCGCCAACCCAAAAATTCCTTGACATGTCCAAGGCTTTAAAAACAGCATACATTCAACATTAATTAAAATCCATACATACGGGCCACAATAGTCGGATTCGAAACACCTGCAAAAACTTATTGCAATTTCTAATCTACTATGCCGCTACATCCGTACGCACATAATTCATGTAGACAACAAAGTCCAAAATTCAAACTGTGCACGAGTTTGCATTAGCCTGGGCCCTGATACAAGTTGTTGGGTTCTGTTAGGAACGTCAAACAACATGCACAACATTGAACTTTATCGAAATAAATCCTAACGCAGCGGAATCTATAGCTAGGATATGCACGTTTACCTTTTAAAATTTTTGTCGACTCTAAGACGATGTAGAGTACCGTTGATGAAGTTCGTCTGAAAACCACAACCTAATGGGCGGATAGGTTTTTCCTTTAATCGATTCTAATCGCTAGGTTCCATGAAGCTAATTTACACGGCACACGGGTCTCGGTTGTCGGGTGCAGCGGGCGATCGTGCGCGTCGGGCGCGGACAGCGTGCGGGCAG